TAAGGCACCCCTACCCAATGTCTCCCTGCTGGGGACACCCTGGGAAGACCTCTGTCCTGCCTTAACCACTTCCACAGGAAAGGATGCTAGGGTAGCCTGTGCCGCAGCCTCCCTGTCCAATGACACCCTGGGCAGCCTGGGGATCCTGGGAGGGCATCAGGACCAGGACCAACAGGAGTTCTGCAGGTGCAGCCCATGACCCGAGGAGGAGGGTCAGCCTGGCAAGTCACCTAAGCCGACCCTCCCTGCTCCCCTCCAAGCCTGGTCCTCTGTGGTCCCCCCTGCAGGCCCCAGGCAAGGGTGAGGATGTTGCCAGCCTGGCTGGGGGGCCCAAAGGAATGAGGCTCCAGACCCACACCTGCCGAGAGGCAGCCTCCTGGCCTCATGAGTTCCAGCAGACAGTTGCCTGGTCCCATTAGCTCTGAGAGGCCAGCATGCCAGCATCCAGCACTGGGCCTGGGTCGGTGCCTGCCCTTCCTTAAGGGGCTAGGCGCCCAGCCCAAGGCTTGGGGGTCTTGCCTGCCCCATGGGGCTCCCTAAATATGGCAGAAGATACCCCACCCTCCCGAGGTCTGCCAAAACCTCTCTGGAGTGAGGTAGTGGCAGCTGGTCATTGAGTACCTGGGGGATGATGCCACCTGGGGCCCTGTGCCTCAGTTTTTCCAGCTATCAAGCCACAATAAGACCACATGGTATGAGGATGCACAGCAAAGGTCACCCCCGGCCATATACTGGGGCTCCAGTAGTGTGGTCTAGACAGGACACTGTCCACAGCCTCCAGAGGGAAGAGGCCAAGTGCCCCCTGCTCACAGGCCCATTTGGCTATGCTGAACCTTCAGGTTCTGGCTCAGTGGGTGACTGGGCACAGGGATGGCCTGGGGTGACAAACAGTCTCTGAGAAAGGGCCCTGGTAGAGGGACCCCACAAAAGGTGGCAGGACCAGGAGAGAGGGGCATTCTGGTGGGTACAGCCCATGGCCTAGTCGGGGGAGGAGTAGCAGTTGGGGGAGGAGGAGCAGCAGAGGGAAAAGGAGGAGGAGGAGGGAAGAAATGGGGAGGAGGAGGGAAGTAGGAGGGGGAGGGTGTGCCAAGGCCTGGCCTGGCAGCCCAGACCTGGATCCCTAATTCCGTGGAGCCTGCGGCGTTGGGGCTTGTTTATTCTTGGCAGGAAGGCTGATGCTGGGGGGGGGGGGTTAGGAGGAGAGCAGGACCTTTTCAAAAAATAATAATAAAAACGTTCATTTAGAAGACTCCCAAGGCGTGCTGAACTCTAAAAGGGTCCTGGAAAAAATGCTGAGAGGGTTTAAGTGTAAATGGACCCAAAACACCATAATTAAATTTCCCTTAAATTTACCAGAGTTTGGGGTCAAAGAAAAAATAAAACTTAGGGAAAATACACTTGAGGTTTCAGGCAGATGCCAAACGCTTAGGAAAATAGATTTCTGAGCTACTCAGCGGCTACCAACCTGGCCTGCCAGCCCCAGAGCCCTGAGGCCCTACCCCCTCAGCAACTGCCCGCCACGGAGGGTTCTTAGCACCCCCACTCTCTGCACTGGCTGAGCAGCTCCTGAGCCAGGCCCCACGGGGGCAGCTGGGAAACACCAGCCCCAGGTCAGGGGAGCACAGGGGGCCTGAGCTCCCACTCCCACCAGAGCCTTCCTCCTAGGTCTGCAGGCAGCTCTGGTTTCCTTTCTTTGCTCATCTTGGAGAAGCCACATTTTCCAAACAAAAAGTCAGGGCCTGAGGCCTAGTGGTCTGTGTGAATCAAGGGCAAAAAGGACAGAAAGTTTGGACTGGGATATCCTCATGGCTCCCAACAATGCATGATTCATGATGTTGCCCTTTTTGCTCAGCCTTCCAGGAAGCTCAAAGCCAAAATTAAGGGTCTTGTTCAGTAGCAAGTGTTAGGTGAAGGATTTTGGAATATTTTCTCTTATCTTCCATGTTCTTTAAAATTCTGTCTCTGTTACAATGAGCAAATTAAATTTTTTTTTTACTTAATCTTCCTGGAATTCTCTGAGAACTAAAAATTTAAAAAGCAGAAATTCAAATTAAAAAGGCAGAAATGACCCACAATCACATTCCTCTCCACCACAGGTGCATTTGGCTCTCTTCGGGGAGAGGAGCAGCCTGCCCAGCTCAGCTTTCTGCTTTGCCTGCAGAGTCTGCCTGATCACTCAGCCTGTCTGCTTCTGGGCAGTGGGGGTTCCCAGAGCAGGAAGTGGGGAGCTCCCAGGGGAGGACAGGGCAGCCCCAGGGGTCCTATGGGGAGGCACAGCAGACAGAGGGATATGAGGCCCTCTGGGCCTGGTTCTCCTTTTTCCCCTACAAGGGGCTCCCAGCCTTGGTTCCAGGCTGGCCTGTGGTATCTGCCTGCCAGGAGCATCCCTCTGCTGACCACAGTGCAGGACCAGCCAGGTGGTCAGGTGGGACTGGTGGATGCAGAGCTGCCCTTGCTGGCCAGTGATGGGGGGAGTCCCTCTGTAGTGCCCCTCTGTGCCACTCCCAACACAGGCCCTAGTGGGCTGGATCTCGGAGTCACTGCCTGTCACACTGGTCTCACCCAGGACCCCATGGATGTGGGTCTGGGGAGACCTGAGAGGCACAGGTGAGGAGGCAGGGAGAGGTACATGCTGCTCAGATTCTGGCAGTCTCAAATGGTCCTGTTGTTGGGGCCTCTTACCATAGTGCAGGCCTGGAGTTGCACTCCAGCCCACTCACCTGCATGGCTATTGGGAACCTGGGGGAGCAAACAGCAGTGAGGACAGGGCAGGGGCTCAGGCAGAACAGCACCTCCTGATGCGTGGGTCAGAGGCAGCACCGGGGAGTAAGGACGGCCTGGGGCTCAGTGTGTGCAGCTGGGCCCCTGGTTTGGAAATGAGCGATTCAGACTGTGACACACCGGAAGGCCCTCCCGGGCACAAGTGGGTGCCTTGGGTTCTGCCTCCTTTGCTGGCCACAGCTCTAGGCCTCTTGGCCCTAACCACCCCCAGAAAATACCCTCAGAACTAAGCAGTCCACGGGGGAAGAGGCCACTTCACAAACATGCATGATGCAGAGAAGCCAGCTACCATGGGGTGGGTGTGCTGTGGGCAGAATGGTAGCCTTCAGGAAGATGCATCTGTATCCCAGCCCCAGGGACCTGAGCACGCAACCCTTTTTTTTTTTTTTTTTTTTTTTTGCTTTTTGCTTTTTATCGGTACCAGGGATCGAACTCACGACTGCCTGCTTGCAAGGCAGGTGCTTATACCGCTGAGCTAAATCTCCAGCCCCTGCGCAACCTTATTTGGAGAAAGGGTTTTGGTGAACGAAATTATGCAAAGAGCTTGGATGAAATCAGCCTGGGTGGCCCCAAATCCAACTACAGGGGTCCCTGTGAGACAGAAGAGCCCAAGCCACGTGAAGTCAGAGCAGGGACTGCACCAAGGTGGCCAGAAGCCAAGAGTATTTGGCGGCCCCAGAAACAGAAAGAGGATGTAGGGCTCCTCGCAGGCCTGTGGGGGCAGCGTGGCCCTGCCTACACAAGACTTCAGACTTCTGGTATCTGGAGCCCAGATGGTAAATGTAGGCCCACCAGGTTACAGCAGCCTATGACAATGGGTGACAGAAAAGGACACAATGAATGGGTGATGGAAAGGGACACAAGGAGGGAGGGAGCACAGACAGCTCCAGGCAGGGAAGGGGTCCCAGGCCCCGTTCCTCCTGAGATGCTGCCTCCAACAAGCCTACCCAAGAGCTGGAGAGCAAGGGAGCCTGGGAGATGGTTAGATCCCATGGGCCAGGCTTGGAGGACACAAGAGAGAAGGTGTGGGCACAAAGAGATCAGCCACCAAGCCAGGCTGGGCACTTCTGCTAAGAAGCTGGTCCTGGAGACACTGTAAAACTCTGGCTCCTGTAGAAAGACTGCCCACTCTTGCAAATGGGCATCTGGGAGGGAGTCTGGGGGCTCCCTGAGCTATTGGTACAGAGCTGGCCAGTTAAGATGTTAGGGCCGATCATCCTGCTGTTGCCCCCTACGATGGCATCTCAGGACAGTACCTTGGTGCCAACACCAGGGCTGTGCACTAGAGGGGGACTGGACAGTTCTCTTGGGATCCAGTGAGCCAGGGCTCCCTGCTAAGTCACGTGGCCAGAGCTGGCAAATAGTATGGCAACAGGTCCCTATGCTAAGCTGTCAGGTGGGCACCAGGTGGGCAGGAAGTCAGCCCAGAGAGGTGGCTTCTGGCTGCACTGGCTGCCCATGAAGCTGGGTGTGAGCTGGAGACTGACTGGCTCACTTTTCTAATCCTGTGAGTAGAGCCCCTGAAGCCACAGCTAGAGGGGCAGAAGCACTGAGCCAAGGTCTCCCACAGGTCCCCCACGTTGCCCAGAAGTAGGACAGGATCCCCATGCCTTGGGAGGGTGGACACAGGACCCTGTGGCCAAGGGGGCCCAGACAACCCGGGTGTCTCCAGGGCCGCTTCTGCCACTTACTGGCCTGGTGGAGAGGCAGCTGCCACGCCTTCCATATCTTGTGATGTCCCAGAACCTTAGGCTAGTTCAGGCACTGTCACCGGCTCCCACCATGGTGGGCTTGCTCCCATGGGGTCCCAGCTCTGCTCCCCACAACCAGGCCTAGCAGAACTCCACAGCTCCACACTGCTCTCTTCTGGGGCCTAGGGTCAGGACTATGAAGGCAGCGGTCGATACCTGCAGGCCTTCCCCTCGGCCCCCGGTCTCTACCGCATATCTGCCTATGGGGCGGGCGCTCCTCTGGAGAGAGCCCGAGTCCCAAAGACCACCGCTCCAGCCCCAGCCCGGTCCCAGCAGGCGCACGGGCAGCGGGCCCAGGAAGCCTACGCGAGCCTGGGGGCAGGGCTGGGTGTGCTCTGGGCTTGCAAACCCGCCCGGCTCCCACGCCCTCCCGGGATCGCCGACCCCGCCCTCCGCGTCCAGCCCCCTTGGAGGCGTGTCAGGGGCGTGACCGGGGCGGGCAGTCCTCCTGCCCCGCGCGCCGGCGGCCCCAGCTCAGTGCGCGGCGGCGGCGGCGGGGCGACTGGCGCCGCGCAGTCCAGCTCGGGCAGGGCGCACGGGGCTGCGCGGCGGAGGGAAAGGCGGCGCCGAGCCGGCGGGCAGCGGGACGACGCGGAAGCCGCACGGAGCGAGCCGGAGCCGGCGGCCACCAGGTCGGGGCCCGGGGTCGGCGGGCGTGGAGGGAGCGGCGGGCCGGTCCAAGCGGGGTCTGCCGCGGGGCGGGCGCGGCTTCCCGCTCTGGAAAGTTTGCCGCTGCCGCCGCCACCCTGTGAGGGCGCTGCGGCCGCAGAAGGAAGGCGGCGGGAAGGCGGGGGCGGCGCGGCGCGAGGCTCCCGGGAACCCTGGGTGGGGACGGGACGGGGACGGGCCCGGCTGGGCCGGTGACGCGCTCTCCTCCTGCAGACCCGGAGCGGCGCCCTCCTCGTGCCGGCGGCGAGGGCGCGATGCCCGCCTGAGCGCCGCCCCCGCCATGGGCACCCGGGCCGGCATCCTCGCGCTGTGCGCGGCAGTGGCTGTCGTGACCGCGAGTGTCGGCGGCGCAGAGCCTCGCGTCGAGCGTGGAGCCGCAGGTAAGGAGGGCGCGGCGGGCAGGGTGGGGGCCCGCAGTGCCAAGGCGCCGGGGCCGATCCGGGCTCCGCGTCTAGTCTTTAGGATCGCATTCCGCGCGGACGCGGCGGTGTTTGCAGGCTCAGGACCACCACCCCAGTGCACGCGGTGGTGGCATCCCCAGCTCGGTCCCTTGGCTCCCGGCTTCCTGCTCCCGGCTGTTTCCTCGACGCCCATTGTCCCACGGTTTTGCACGGACGGAAAGTTCCCATTGTTGGTCATCCTTTTCCCGGGTCCCGTTCGTGGCCAGCGTGAGCCCAAGAGTGTCCAGACTTTACAGGCTCGGGGGCTGGGGGTTTAGCTCAGCGGCATAAGCACCTGCCTTGCAAGCAGGCGGTCGTGAGTTCGATCCCCGGTACCGATAAAAATGAAAAAAAAAAAAACAAAAAAAAAAAACACAGACTTTACAGGCACGTAGGAGTGCGTCAGACGAAACCCGGCCCTACTTTCCATGGCAACTTGGCTAGGTGACAACCGCCGGGCCACCTCTGCCCCACTCTGCGGGTGGCGGGATCCGGGCCCCCTCCCGGAGCTAACTTCCAGCCGGGCTCCAGGCGGTCGCGGGGCGCAGATAGGGTACCGCGGTCACCGATGGGGGGGGCGTCGCGGTTCGTGGGACGTGGCTCCGCAGGCAGCCAGTAGCGTTTGTGTCGCTCGGCCCGGTTGAGGGTGGCCCGACGCGAAGAGCGAGGCCCGGCCCGGTGAGGCGGCCCCACCCGGGTGGCGGCCGAACAGCCGCTCCTTTGTACCCGGCGGCGGCCACAGACCGTGCATTGATGGCGCGGCGCAGGGAAGTGCGCGCGGCGGACGGGCAGATGGCGGCGCCCCGCCCCGGCCCGCGCCCCTCTCCCTGGCGGCTCTGCGGCCTCCGGAACAATGTCATTTTTTTATGAATGAAAGTGGGCCCGGCGCTTGAATGCGCGTGTCATTCAGCGGCGTGATAGAGGCCGTCGGGAGGTCAGCGCGCGCTTTTAGCCCCTGCTCGCAAGGCCGCTTCCAGGGCGCCGAGTGGGCGGGGGAGGGGCACATTAGCATGCGCATTTGGATAAAGATATTCTGCGGGTGTCAACGGGCCCGGCCTGGGCAGGCGCCGGCCCCCTCCGGACCCCCAGCCTGGCGCAAGGCAAGTGGAGCCGGGGACGCACCGCCGCGCATCGGCTTACCGCTCCCTGCGCGTCGGGACGTCGATGGCCCCCGCCCTTGCGCCGAAGCCCGTGAAACAGGTAGGGAGTTGATAGGTCAATAAACTTAATCCGGTTCCTTAACGAGATGGGCCGGGCTGTAAAAATACAAAGACCTCGTGAAATTTACAGAGGTCCCGGCTGGCGCTTTCCCCAGGAACGTAAATTATCGAGCGGTAGCTGGGAGCTGGCAGGGGTCAACGGCGGTGGGGAGGGCTAGCTCCCCGGGCTAGGTGGCAGCCACCTCCTCGCCTCCACTTAGGCCACGTTCTCGGTTGGGGGACCTGGGGAGGCCTGAAGGGGACCGGGAGAGGGTTCCAGGGAATGCAGCGCCTCCCCTCACCCCTCCAGGGTAAGGCTGGACTTTGAGCCTTGCGCTGAGTGGTTCATTAACCCGGGCTGATCCTCCCAGCCTCGAAGCCTCTTCCTGAGCACGAGGCCATTTTGCAAGGCCTCAAGTCGCACTCAGGACTGGAACTGGCTGCAGGCGTCCTTTCTTACCATTGAGCCTAGAAGCCGCAAGGACTTCAGGTCTCCAGTGGTGCCGGGATCCTCCCTGGTTTGGGTTGGGGGTGGCCAGGGAGGGCAGGCGCCCTGCAGGGTGATTTACAAGTGAATGGACCAGCTCTGAGCTTCAGTCTCTTTGGTTTTTTGCTGGAGTGATTGCCTGGACTACCTGTGCAGTGAGCTGCCAGCTGCTCCCCCCGGGGCTTGGGGTGTCCTCCTGGAATCTCAGTTTCTTCACCTGTCTGAGAGGACTGATAATGGCAGGGTTGTTTGGAGGATTAGGTAGTGTAATCCCAGGAAGCCCTCAGTAGCTCTCCCGGCCTTCCTCCAAATCCTGTTTTTTTTTTTTTTTTTTTTTTTCTCTGATTGTTATAAAACTCTGTGGAATGTGTCTGGGTGGGATAGGAGGTGGGGACACAGGAGTCCAGACCCTGGCCCTCAGCTGCAGGGTCCCTTGGGGGCATTGCTCTTTCCTGGGCTGTTTTGAGTCACATACCTGACCACACCTCCCATGCCAGGCCAGGCCAGGCCAGCCCAGCCCAGCCCAGGAGAGCTTCATGTGTGAAACCAGAACGCTCTGTTCCCTGACCCTGGCCCTGGTCTGGCTCCAAACCCCGAGTCCTTTGGGGTAGTTGGCTTAAGAAACCAGTCTGAATTCTACGCTTGTTATGTGGGGTGCCCTGGGGGGGGCCTTAGTTGCAGTGATCCAGAACTGCCAGTAAGGTCACCCAGGCAGGATGTGGCACTCCCAGAGGGCTGTCTCCGCCACAATAGTCCCAGACAAGAGAGCCTCATCAGAAGTGTCCCTCACGCTTCTGCCTCACTGTCATAGGCCAGCCACCTCACCAGCGCAAGTGCCTTTGTCCCCCAGACCCTCAGGCGGGGATTTCTACCTTGAGCCACAGTGCAGGAAACTGAGGCACAAAGTCAGGGAGATCCTGGGTCCAGCACAGCTCCTCTAGGACCCAGTGTCCTACAGTCACAGCAGCAGGCTTTTCTGGGGGGTACACTTGGGAGAAGGTGCCCTTGCTGCTCCTGGGCACAGCAGGAACACTGGTATGCTGGGGGTGCGTGGTCCCCCCCCCCTTTTGAGGATAAAGAGCCCCTGGTGTGTGCGAGGTGGTGGGTCCTTTCAGTGCCTGCCAAGCCACCCCATACTGTCTTCTTGGTGTTCAAGTGTCTGACTTTGCTGGTCCAGCCCTGCAGGGTTTTCCCTAGGGCCTTGGTTGCAGGTGTTGGACACTGGCACCAGAGTCTGCCCAAAGTCCAGGTGTCCCCGTCCTCCTGACACCTGGAGGCATCCACTGAGTGTCACTGGCCTGGACGCTGCCCTGTTCACCTGAAGTCCCTCTCTGGGCCAGGTTGAAGCAAATACTTGTGTGGATGGCTAACCTGTTGTCTTTGCCTAACCAAACTGGAACCAAATAGCTGTTGCTTTTGGGCCAGGGCCTGGGGTTGAGGCTCCTGCAACCAGCTTGGTGTTGCCTTGTGGGGGGTCTCAGGTATCTCCCAGCACTGGGTGGTCCCCACAGGACATGATCTCCAGGTTTGGAGAGCTGGGGGTCCAGCCAGGAGCCCTCCAGCTGTGGGGGGCCATACAGGGGCTGTCCCAGAGCGAGGAGTTCCTGTGGGATACAGACTCCCTTGGATACTTGCAGGGTCGCTGTGGCTGGCAGGCCCATGGAGCGGCATGGACAGAGCTGGGCTTGGACAGAGCGCCAGGGACTGGTGTGGCCAGAGTGGGTAACTGGGGCCCGAATCTAGGCCATGCGTTGGTAGAATGACAAGTAACGGTTCAGCCAGCATCACTGGGTCTGGGGACGGTCTGCCCAGGCCTGGCTGCTCCTGTGCCCAGCACTGTGTGGCCCTGGCAGGGGGCTTGGGTGTTGGTCCTCCTAGTGGGTGGTGTCTCTGGGTCTCAGACCTTGGGGCTTCTCGGGAGCTGGGGTGCCCTGGGAAGGGCAGAAGCCCAGGCCCACCTGTGGGAATAGGCTTGTACCCTGATTTCTCACCGCCTCTCCGCTCAGCTCTGCCCCACTTGTCTGGTGTCTGCAGTGTCCTCAGCCTGAGTCATCAAAGATGGGTGGGCAGGGGTCCACCACCAGCCACCTGGAGTCCTCCCTCATCCCTGGGCTGAGACTCATGGTCAGACCGGAGTCCTGATGGCTGTGTGGCATAGAGACATCCCACTCCGGCTGCTCTGGCTGTCCTGCCACCAGGCGAGGCCTGTTCCCTGGCTTCTCTCCAGAGTGCTCTTGCTGCCAAGATGAGAATTGGGGTGCCGTAGGCCCTCCCTCCTGAGCTCCCCTCCTCCGGGCAGCTTTTAATTCAGCCAGAGTCAGCAAGGGGAGCCCTTGTGGTGTGGGCCTGTGAAGCCATCTCCAGACGGTGACAGGTAGAACAGGACCGAGGGAGGCTTTGTGTGTGTGCTGTGTTGGGGCTGGGGCTGCATCTGCCTCCCTTGTGTCTATAAGCAGCTCTGCTGGCATGTAGGTCTTTGGAGGCAGAATCTGAGGCCTTGGGGCAGACTGGCTGGACCTGACAAAGCTGACTGCTGCCCGTCCTCCACAGGGACAGTTAGTGCTCCTGTTTGAGTGACAGAGCTGGCAGGACCAAGGCTGCTGACCCTTTCTCACTCAGGACCTGTGCAGCTTCCCCCCAGGGGTTGCGTCCCAGCTTGTCTGCCTTGTCTGCCTTGGGTGCTATCTCACTGTTGCCCTTTTGCCTGCAGAGGCCCTGGGGCCGGAGTCTGGCCAGCAGGCGCAGGTGGTCTTTGGCAGTGGGGACACTGTGGAGCTGAGCTGCCACCCACCCAGAGGTGGCCCTGTGGGCCCCACAGTCTGGGTCAAGGATGGAGAGGGGCTGGTGTCCTCAGACCGCATCCTGGTGGGTCCCCAGCGGCTGCAGGTGCTGAATGCTTCCCTCGAGGACGCCGGGGCCTACAGCTGCAAGCAGCAGCTGACGCAGCGTGTGCTGTGCCGCTTCGGTGTGCGTGTGACAGGTTCGTGCGTGCTGAGCCGCACCAGGCTCTGGGCCTCAGCGCTGTCTGGGGCAGTTGGGGGGGCACCTGGGGTCCTGCTGGACAGGTGCTGGCAGCTGAAAAGCAGTGGGCACCTGGATGTGGCCCATTGCAGGTCCAGTGCCCACACATGCACCTCCTCTTGGCAGATACCCCCTCCTCAGGAGATGATGAAGACGGAGAAGACGTGGCTGAAGACATAGGTGAGATTGGATGCCAGGCCCAGGCTGGCTGGGGTGGGGACCACTTCCTGCCTGCCCAGTCCTGCCCTTTGTTGGCTGGTGGGGCATGGATGCCTAGGGAAGACCTGAGGCACAGGAAAGAAAGGTCAGGTGGGGAGGGCTGGGGCCATCATGACTGGCATTGCTCTGGATGCCGGCTCTGGGCTCCTGGTGGCAGCTGGGGGATAGGAGGTGGGCAGCTTTGCCACTGATGGGGGAGAACAGGGCACAGGGGCTTCCAGGAATGGTGGCCAGGCCAGTGGCTGTCCCTAGTATGCGCACAGCAGGGCACAGAGTTCAGCTGGCTGCTGTGGGCAGGGCTAGACACACTGTAGGAGGGGCTATGGCAGAGTTTCCCCTGGTGGCAGGCAGGGTGACAGTGCTCAGGTAAGACTGCCCACTGTACAGGGCCCAGGCTTTCTGGTGTAGGAGGAGCTGAGAGATGCGTGTGTGCAGAGGAGGGTTATGGCTAGGTGCATGCAGGGTCCTGCACTGTGTGGCCGAGGCCGAGGACCCTTGGCCCTGCTGGGCTTTCCATCTCTGGGATTTCCTCTGCCCTGCTCGAGCTGGGGCAGGGGACCAAGAGAGACCAAGTCTCCCCACCGAGAGTGGGAGTCCTGTCCTGCTCCTGCTGGGTCCTGGTCCTCACTGCACCACTGCCAGCAGGGGCCCCGTACTGGACTCGGCCCGAGCGGATGGACAAGAAGCTGCTGGCTGTACCAGCTGCCAACACTGTGCGCTTCCGCTGCCCAGCTGCTGGTAACCCCACACCCTCCATCTCCTGGCTAAAGAATGGGAAGGAATTCCGTGGGGAGCATCGCATTGGGGGCATCAAAGTAGGTGTGGGTCTGGGAGGGAGCTTGGCCCCTGAGCCTGGTCGTGGGGCTGCGTTCTCACCACCTTCTGACCTACTGCAGCTGCGGCACCAGCAGTGGAGCCTGGTCATGGAGAGTGTGGTGCCCTCAGACCGAGGTAACTACACATGCGTAGTGGAGAACAAGTTCGGCAGCATCCGGCAGACATACACGCTGGACGTGCTGGGTGAGTGAGCGCCAGCCCGGTGAGGGGGCCACTGCCATGCACCCACTGACTATGGCCATCACACCTCGCCCCACAGAGCGCTCTCCACATCGGCCTATCCTGCAAGCAGGGCTGCCGGCCAACCAGACAGCTGTGCTGGGGAGCGACGTGGAGTTCCACTGTAAGGTGTACAGCGATGCGCAGCCCCATATCCAGTGGCTGAAGCATGTGGAGGTGAATGGCAGCAAGGTGGGCCCTGATGGCACACCCTACGTCACCGTTCTCAAGGTGGGCACTGGCCAGCAGCAGTGGGTCCTTATCAGGGCATGGTGTCCACGCTTTGGGGAGGGGCTCAACAGGGCTCCCTCGCCTGAGCTCCGTGGGGATCTCCCACTTGAGCCACAGCTCGGAGCAGGATGGGCTTGCTGTGCCCACTGTGAGGTACAGGGCTGGGTCACAGTGGGCTCCCCAGAGCCTGTGTACCCGAGTACTGGGCTGAATACCCGAATACCAACTCTAGGGTGGGTGATAAGGGCCGGTGCGCCACTGCCAGCTGCCTCTGCCCTTCGCTTTGTTCCTGTGGCCACTGGGGTGGCACCCACCTGTGTGGGGCAGTTGCAACACTGGAAGCCCAAAGAGAAACGTGTTCCAAGACAAGGCAGCCTAGTGGGGGTGGGGAGCAGGCGCCTGGGGCCGAAGTGCAGTCTAAAGCTGGCAGGGAGTGGCCAGGGGCCAGGGGCCTGTCCAGTGCTGCCTCTCTGGGTGCTCCTGGGACCTCCCACTCTGGGCTCTGGGCTGGGGCTGGGACACAGGGTGCGTCCTGGGAGAAGCCACCCCACATCACCATCTTTGGGGAGCCCACCAGGCCCTCTGTGGGGTCCTGGTCCCGCTGCCTCCTGCCTCGCGCCCAGCCCAGGCTGCCTCAGGGCATGCCTGAACCGGGTCTCTTGTCCCCGCAGTCCTGGATCAGTGAAAATGTGGAGGCAGACGCGCGCCTCCGCCTGGCCAATGTGTCGGAGCGGGACGGGGGCGAGTACCTCTGTCGAGCCACCAATTTCATAGGCGTGGCCGAGAAGGCCTTTTGGCTGCGTGTTCACGGGCCCCGAGCAGGTAACGACTCTGTCCCACGCCTGCCTGGCACGCCGAGCTCCAGCTCCGACACCCAGCCGTGTGCCCGCCTGCACGCCCTGCATGCCCCTGTCCTGCTTGTGCCTGCCATGGCTTTTTCTGCTTGTGGCTACTCTGCCATCACATGGATGGCATCGACTGCTGCTGTGACAGCCCACTTCGAAGCCCCAGGCCTGTGCTGGCCTTGCCTGCTTTGCCATGTGCCCCTGAATGTCCCTGAGCCCATTTGGGCTGTGTCCCACACTCTGAGCACCTACCTGCCGCCTCTCCAGCTACTGGACCTGGCACTTCCCCATTGCCATCCAACATCTGTCTGTTCTACTGTCTGTCTTGTCTGTCCCTGTCTGCCTCCTCCCCTCTCTGCACTAACCCTGCATGCTGCCCCCAAGCAGCCCTGTGCTCCTGCCCGTCTGCCTGATGCTCACCTGGGACAGAGGACTCGCCGGTGGAGGGACTGGCTTTGGGCTCAGCGCCCATGCTGGAGGCAGAGGCCCAGGCCACCGTGGCCGTGGCAGGACTGTGGCAGTGGCTGAGGTGGTGGTGGCGGCGGCGTTTTCTTTGCAGCCTGGCCGGATCGTGGCCATGTAGCCTGGGCCACAGTGCCCATGGGGAGGTGCTGGCACTTGCCTATCGCACTCTGTTCTCTCTTTGTAGACGGCGGGCGCTAACACCACCAACAAGGAGCTAGAGGTTCTGTCCTTGCGCAATGTCACCTTTGAGGATGCGGGGGAGTATACCTGTCTGGCGGGCAATTCTATCGGGTTTTCCCATCACTCTGCGTGGCTGGTGGTGCTGCCAGGTACTGGCTGTGCTGCTGCTTGCTCTGCACTTATCTCCTGGGGTGCTGGCTCGGGACACGCCACAGCCACCAGGGACGGGCTGAGCAATGGCTGGGGCGCCTGGCCTTGTGCCTGGCCCCATCTTGGTTCCAGGGGCCCCTTCTAAGCCCCATAGCTGGGGTTCGGGGCCCTGTACTGTGGCTTTAGCATGTCCTGGGTGCCTGGGTGGTGGTCTGGGTGCTGCTGGCTCCACTAGGCTCTTTCTTTCCTGGGTCTGCCCCTCCTGACATGTTTTGACTGTAGCGCTAGGAGATAGGGCCCAGAGGCCTGGGGTCCCTGCTCTGAGCCCCAGGACAGCATTGTTTGCCTGACCCTGCCAATGCAAGAGCCTGGGCTCGGCCCCAACACGCATATCTTTGCAGCAGAGGAGGAGCTGGCAGAGGCGGACACGGCGGGCAGTGTGTATGCAGGCGTCCTCAGCTACGGGGTGGGCTTCTTCCTCTTCATCCTGGTGGTGGCGGCTGTGACCCTCTGCCGCTTGCGCAGCCCACCCAAGAAGGGCCTGGGTTCCCCCACCGTGCACAAAGTCTCCCGTTTTCCGCTCAAGCGACAGGTAACAGAAAGTAGATACCAGGTTTCTAGCCACCCGTCTGCCCACCTGGCCTCCTAGAGCCCCAGATCCGCATGTGTTCAGGGTCCTTGCACCTGGGGAGACCCGTATGGGCTGCTTCTTGCAGTTGGGGGTCTCCTGCTCCCTCCTCACTGGTCTCAGTATGGGGCCCAAGTTTCCCATTTTTAAAATTCCTCCCTCACTGCTCCAGGGATGCCTAGCAGCCCACACGCCCAGCTCACTGCCCTGTGTGGTCACGGCCTCCCTGTACCCAGGGCTGTGCTGCCCACCTCTCCCAGCCCAGGCCCCTGCCATGAGGCACCAACCTGCCCCTGCCGACCCAAGCAGGTGTCCTTGGAGTCCAACTCATCCATGAACTCCAACACGCCTCTGGTCCGCATCGCCCGGCTGTCCTCGGGGGAGGGCCCCACACTGGCCAACGTGTCTGAGCTTGAGCTGCCTGCTGATCCCAAGTGGGAGCTGTCTCGGTCCCGGTCAGTGATGGCAAGGGCACGGTAGGGCTCTGTGATGGGTGCTGGGATGGCGCAGGTAGGGGCCTCCCTGGACTCAGGTGGGAGTGCTGTATAGTAGCTGGAGGAGGGCCAGGCGGGGAATGGTGGTGCCCATGCTCATCACCTTGGCCTTTCCTGCAGGCTGACCCTGGGCAAGCCCCTTGGAGAGGGCTGCTTTGGCCAGGTGGTCATGGCAGAGGCCATTGGTATCGACAAGGACCGTGCTGCCAAGCCGGTCACCGTGGCCGTGAAGATGCTGAAAGGTGAGCAGGGACATAGTGAGGGGCTCCTTTGTGCCATTGGTGCCACTCCTGACATCTCTTCCCCTTTGGCACAGATGACGCCACTGACAAGGACCTTTCGGACCTGGTGTCAGAGATGGAAATGATGAAGATGATCGGCAAACACAAGAACATCATCAACCTGCTGGGCGCCTGCACGCAGGGGGGTGGGTGCTGGGCGGGGAACGGGGAGGGGGCGGAGGCGGGTTAGGCAGGGATCAAAGGTAGTGTCAGGCATGGCAGCTCTCTGAGGTGCACGTGTCTGCAGGGCCCCTGTATGTGCTGGTGGAGTATGCTGCCAAGGGCAACCTGCGGGAGTACCTGCGGGCGCGGCGGCCCCCAGGCTTGGACTACTCCTTCGATACCTGCAAGCTGCCTGAGGAGCAGCTCACCTTCAAAGACCTGGTGTCCTGTGCCTACCAGGTGGCCCGGGGTATGGAGTATCTGGCCTCTCAAAAGGTGAATGGGTGCAGCGGAGGTGTGGTCCATGCCCAGCAGGGGCTGGACAAGTTCCGTCCTGGAGCAGGGCAGAGGGTTGCCATGGGTAACTCAGCCTTGTCGCCACCCCTCTGGCCTGCAGTGCATACACAGGGACCTGGCCGCCCGAAACGTGCTGGTGACTGAAGACAATGTGATGAAGATCGCAGACTTCGGCCTGGCTCGAGATGTGCACAACCTCGACTACTACAAGAAGACCACCAATGTGAGTCCTGCTCTCGTCCCCAGGGTGGAGTTCCCAGGCTGGCAGCGGCCTGATAGCTGGTATCTGCCCTTTACCCCTAGGGCCGGCTGCCAGTGAAGTGGATGGCACCCGAGGCCCTGTTTGACCGAGTCTACACCCACCAGAGTGATGTGTAAGTGATGTGTAAGCTGCTCCCACCCCGGCCCCCAGCTATACATCCTGGGGTAGGGGCTGTAGAGGGAAGGGGCCCGAGGTGTGCAGGGCCTGACCTAGCCCCGCGCCTACAGTTGGTCCTTTGGAGTCCTGCTCTGGGAGATCTTCACACTGGGGGGCTCCCCATACCCTGGCATCCCCGTGGAAGAGCTTTTCAAGCTGCTAAAGGAGGGGCACCGTATGGACAAGCCGGCCAACTGCACACAGGATCTGTGAGTGTGGTTCACTTGCGGCAGCCCTGTCAAGGGGTAGGGGAATGGAGTTGGGGCACCAGTCAATGCTACCTCCTTGGCCGCAGGTACATGATCATGCGTGAGTGCTGGCATGCTGTGCCCTCGCAAAGGCCCACCTTCAAGCAGCTGGTGGAGGACCTGGACCGCATCCTCACTGTGACATCTACTGACGTGAGTGCTCTTGCCCGGCGTGTGCCCAGCAAGAGGGTCCTTGGTAGCAAGTGTGTGCTGACCAACCCCTGTCCCCACCTACCCGCAGGAGTACCTGGACCTGTCCGTGCCGTTTGAGCAGTATTCACCCGGTGGTCAGGACACGTCTAGCTCCAGCTCCTCTGGGGACGACTCTGTGTTCACACACGACCTGCTGTCCCCGGCCCCGCCTGGCAGCGGAGGCCCTCGGACGTGAAAGGCCGTGGCCCTGAAGGCCAAGCCCTTGTTAATGTGAGAGTGATCCCAGCCCACCCTGCCGCCTGAGGCACAGCAGCCTGGGCCTGAGCCCGTGAGATGGGCACACAGACAGACGCTGTGCATCTGTGTGTGAGAGGGAGGGCAGCCTCGAGGCCTGCGTGCAGGTCCCTAGGATGCCTGCGCTGCTGTAAGGTGCCTTGTGCAACACATGCCTGGCAAGAGGGTCCTTGCAGCAAGCGTGTGCTGGAGGCCCAAGGACCTTGCCCTGGAGCACCAGATGTAGAATGTAGGGGGGCCACCCCCAGGGAGCATCTCAGTGGGTTGCAACCCCTCAGCCCCCAAGCTGAGCCTGCAGGGCAGCCCCTGTGGTGAGCCCTATACCTGCGTGGCACCTTGCACCTGGGGGTAAGCAGCAGCTCCCCTATCTCCAGGTCTTCCCACTGCCCCCCTGCCCTTCAGACTGAAATTACGGGTACCTGAAGGTGGGAGGGAGCCTTCAACCTTCCATCCGAAAGGTTTATTCCAGACACTAGTGTACATTTCTATAAATAGATGCTGTGTATATGGTATATATACATATATATAAGAATATGTTGGGGAGGAGTCCTCAGGGCTGGGGGACCCCCCCCCGCAGGGGCCAGTGGAGGGGCAAAGGACTTTTCTGGCACTGCAGTTTTGTTTTAAAAATTTGTACCTGGACCTGTATATTTGTAAAGCTATTTATCGACCCCCAAAACCCTGGCTTCCCCACATGGATAGCGTTTAGCCAGCTGCAAGGCAGAGATTTAAGTTTTAACTTATTAACAGCTGAGGTTTATGCTACATTTGGAGGGGTTGCAAAAGAATGTACGTCCAGCTGCGAGGCCGCCCCACCGGAGTCATGTGCTGGGGGTGGGTACAGCAAGCCTTTTATTTCCTTTGGCCTGGGCTGGGGATTTAGCTCAGCGGCATAAGCACCTGCCTTGCAAGCAGGCAGTCGTGAGTTCGATCCCCGGTACCAATAAAAAGGAAAAAGACAAAAAAAAAAAAAAAAATCCTTTGGCCTTTTGCAGGGAATTAGATTTCTATAGGACCTTTCTTTAGATTTATTTTTTTGGTCTTCAGAGCAAGCTGGTATTTTCATACAGATCCTTCTAATTGCTGCATATTGCAGGGAGGGCCGGCCCTGTGTGCAGGTTGTTATTAGATGTTACAAGTTTATATCTATCTATATAATTTATTGAGTTTTTATGAGACATTATTTGCTGTAGACTTAACACTTCTTAAGCAATGCTTTTAGACTTTCATAGCCCAGACTGCTACCTTTCAAAGCTTGGGAGAGAAAGCCGTGAACATGGTTTCATTCCCTTTTGTACTGTCCTTGGGCCCCAGCTGGGAGGCTGACCCTCACCCGCCCCTCAGCTGCTGGCCAGCCAGTAAGGCCAGGAGGCCACTCCTCAGCTCTTTCCTTGGGGTCCAGCCATGGTGGCCAGAGGTGTCAGCCCAAGCCCAGCCCAGCTGATGTGACTTGTTAACCCAGATGTCCCCTTTCTAAGAATAAAGAGATGACTAGTTCCCAGCTATACTTTCTCCTGTTCCCTGTTTCCTGCCTGTTAGAGACGTTTGTTGTCCCCCTTGGAGGGGGTCCCAGCCAGCAGCAGGGGAAGAGCAGCTGCTGTGGTCCCCAAGTGGGGACACTTGTGCCTGTGACCTTGCCTGCTCCCTGGTCTCTGGCTCCTCCACCTGCAGAGCGGGTCTAGGTGGCTTTTGGGGGAGTAGGATGGCCAGGCCTGGCTGGGAACACCTAGAACTGGACAAATCCCATTGGCCCTGCCTTCCGGGAGAGGACAAATGCTGGTGCTGCCCCATTCCTGGGACCGTTCAGGTTATATTAAAGTCTGGGGGCTTGGCCACCATGCTCTGTCAGCAACTAAGGGACACTGTACCCCCAAGCCACCTGCCAGAGACCTGATACTAGGACCCCAGGCCTGGTAGCGGTTTAGACTTAGTTCAATGCACTGGTCCCTGCAGGGATCCCCTGGGGCTGGGTAGCAGGAAGGCCTCTGACCCAGCCACCAGGGACCCTCAGAAAGCAGGCACAGAGGAGCTGGGGATTTAGCTCAGTGGAATGAGCACCTGCCTCGCAAGCAGGCAGTCGTGAGTTCGATCTGCGGTACCAATAAAAAAGAAAAAGACCAAAAAAAAAAAAGTAGGCACAGGTCAGGTGCTCCCCAGAGACTGGCTTGGCCATGTGGATGACATGACCCCTGGGGAGGCTAGTGGAGGTGGGTGGGCAGGGCTGGCCAGGTAGTGGACACAGGCGCCCCCTAGTGCTCTGCAGCCAAGCTGCACCCCGAAGCACTGTCCTGGCTGGGCCTGGTAAGGCCCCAAGGTGATGATACCGGATTGTCCCTGGGGCTCCCATTTCAGTCAGGAACTCCAGGGGTATGTGGCCGCCCTTGCCTGCTGCTTGGGCTCCTGTACTGTGGCTATTCCCTTCCAGGGCCCGGTGCCCCTGTGGATGCTGCCCCAGGGTTATCAGGAGGGCAGTGGCAATGTCTGTTATTGTGGCAGGTAGGACCCTTTGTGCTGGCTGCTGCTGTCCTTAGCCAGGGTACCTGGGAGAGGACACTGCTCAGGAAGCTGCTACTGGGCTGGTGCCTGCTGCAATCACCTCTACCTGAGCAAGGACCCTGAGCAGCCTGGCACTCTGAAGTGCCTGGGAGGTCAGGAGAAGACCTGTGCCTGCCCTCCTGCCCAAGACCCACCATCCAGGGCCCCCTCTACCTCACCTATCCTCTGGTGCCTAGCCTGCCACACATGGGCTGGGAGCAGACACAGTGTCCCCAGAGGTCCTGAGTTGGAAATTGGCTCCCAGGCCAGGCACAATTTGGGGAAGTAGCCAGGCTCTCAGGCCCCTGTGGGACTGAGGCATCCACTGTGGGTCCTCAGGGTGGGGAAAGTGACCTGGTAGCATGCCTGCAGACCTGGAGAAACCACTGCAAGGCAGACAAATCACCAAGTGGCACTTTATTACACTCTCAGATGTCCGGAAAGCACATTCTGCTTGTCAACACACAGTGCTGGGCCAGCCTGGCACACTGGACAGGACCACCCTGCAGCCCACAGCACTGTCACAAAAGCAGGGGTTTTGATGATCCTGAGCAGTCTCCAGTTCAGACGGCACAGAAGTGACATCATGTTACACATGGCCAGGCCAAGAGATGGGAAACTGCTCCTTTGCTGGTCCTCAGGACTCTGATGACAGCCACCCTCAGGAGACTGGTTGTTTTTAGCAGGGTCTCCCTATGTACATTCAGGCTGGTCTCACACTCATAATGATCTTCCTGTCTCAGCTTCCTGAGTGCTGGGATTACAGGAGATTACACCAATTTTAGAAATACAAGGTGGCCTCCACATTCATGAGTCTAGACTGATCCACAAGGACTCCTAAATCCCTGAGTCAGAGGGGTACGTGCGGGGGCAGGGACAGGGCAGGTTGGTATAAGAGGGAACATAGCTGTGGCACTGGGACCCCAGCTCCTAAGGATTCAGCAAAGGCCAAGTGCAGACACCAGGCAGATGAGAAACAGGCCACTGGGCGTCCAGCTGCCCCCAGGACATTGGCCCACACAAGCCTGCTTCCTTTTAGCCACCTCTCACACAGTGTCAAAGCAATAAATTAGGTCAGTACAGCAAAACGCAGTGCTGGGAGAACCTCCCAGAGATGCCCGCTGAGTGCCACAGGCTCATCATGGTGCCGGCCAGGCCACCAAGCAGGACATGGTGACGGGCCCTGGGCAGGGACACGGTGATGGGCGCACACAGGCCCATTCCCAGCAGCACATACACTTGGGCAGTTGGGGCTGGTCTCCTGCCCTTACAGGCAGAGAAGCTTCCAGTGACTCAGAAGGCTCTTCACGTGAGCGCGGCATGCCCGGCCCCATTCCTGTCCTTGTAGTCCCATGTCTGAGTTCTCACAGGACACTTCTGATGACTGATGAGCCCCATGGGGCCGTCTGCCACCAAGTGAGAAGGCCTGACTCTGCCTAGGCAGCTATGGACTGAGAGGTGGGGTTGGTGGCCTCACTGAGAGCCTGTGGAGAGGCCGACAGCCCAAAACCAGTCATCCCAAGCATGGGGCCCTCTGTGCCCGCCTGTCCTTGCAGACAGGGGTTCGTCAAGGAAGAAGCCATACAGGGTCTGGTGCTGCAAGGGGATGAGGCCTGGGGATGGCTGGTCAGAAGGACAGTGCGTCCCATGCTCCAGGGGCAGTGGCTCACGCCCAAGCCTGAGAGCTCCAGTCCTGACTACGTTAGATGCTGCTCGAGAGCCAGGCAAGCTGTCATTTCAGAGATCATCAGTTCATGGGTGAACCCCAGGCTGGGGTGCCAGGCAAAGTGAATCAAGGAGGAGTCCAGTAAACAGCGAGATCCACAGGAGACACAGGCATGTGGTCAGGGAGAGGCACGGAGCGGCCACAGCCACGGCAGCCTCAACAGGTACGTGGACTCGACTTAGTGATGTGTTCAGGCAGACACTGCCACCAATGTGTGGAATCAGTATCTAGGACTGGCTGGAGCAGTGCCCTCAGCCCGGGGCTGGGTCTGGTGCTTTGCAGTGCAGCACTTCTGGCCGGCTCCACAGGTCGAACCTTCCTGCCCGGCCTGGCCCAGTCAGCGACCTCCAGGCGATCAGCACCACACCATGGTGAGTCCAGTCACAGTTTCCTGGAGGCACCTAGGAATCCAGACTGAGTCTTTGTGGAATGATGAAAATTAAAATTATTTGATCATGAAGTTTCTGATTTATTCCAGGTAGTATTAGAACTGCCACAAGAATCACCTCAAAGCAATCACTTTCACATCATCCCCACCGTGCTGGTGCGGAGCGAAGGCCCTAGTTCTTTGCCTCCACTGCCTCCTTCTCAGCCTTCTCCTTGGCCTTCTCCTTCTCCTCGACCTTCTCTTCCTTTTCCAGTGTGGCCACAATCTCAGCCACCTGGCTGGTGGAGATGTGCACATCTTCTTTGTCTACCAGCTCGATCACCTGCAGAGGAAGGGGTTTAGCAGGCTCCAGTCTCTTTACAGCCCAGGGCAGTGGGAATACTGCTGCCTGGCCCAGGTACCCTTGTCGAGGCCCCAGGTCCTGCAGCTGCCCTGATCCTGAGCATCAATCCTCCCCAGGGGCCATGGGGAGCAGGTTCCTGCTCTAGCCTGCATGGTCCCCACAGGCCAGTGAGTGGCCTGTGTGTGGCTTCTCCAGGGCAGAGCTTGGAGGATGGGGGGGCCCAGACCAAGAAGGGGAAGAAAAAGGTGATGTTGGGGACACATGCCTGGTGGCACCCTGCTTTCAAGAAGAACTGAAAAAAGCAAGCCAGCATCTGTGGTCATTTTGGAATACCACTAGCTCACCAGGCCCACTGCAGGCACAGGGTCCTAAATGATTCTGGAAGGCCGACACTGAGCTGCAGGTGAGGTCCAGATGCCCTGGCAGGCTGCATCCTGTCCAGGCCTTAGGGGACAACCTGAACCCTGGCAGCTGTGTGTGGGAGCCTGGCCCACCTGTCTCTCTCAGGCTTAGCTGCGGAGCCCTGGCAGGTAAGATTTACGCCACCTGTGCCCAAGTGCCTGCCATGAGAATCCCTGAGCAATAGTGGATGCAGGGTGAGCAGGGGTAAGGCTGCTAATGCCTGCCTTGGGGACTCCACTCAGGCTGTCAGGCCAGGGCCACAGTCAGCAGCAGGTGGCCTGTGCCAGAGGGCACCCTCAGGACACTGTCCTGGATGTGTGTGGGAAAGAGCGCAGAACACTGATCATGGCTGTGATCCTGGGCCCTTGAGGCCAGGACAGTCCAGGGAGCAGAGAGGACGGCAGCTATGAGGGTGTGGCTGCTCCCATGCCAGGCATTCCATGCTGACAACTTCATCCTTCAGGATGCGCACTGCTACCGACCCAACGGATCGAGTTCAGGAGGGCAGCACATCCCGCCTAGCCCAGCCCAGGCCTCCAAGACCCACCTTGACGAGGTCGTCGATATTGATTTTGCCATCCTTATTCTCATCCAGCGCAGAGGCCAAGCTGACCAGCTTGTTTTCTGGAATGTGCTTGACTTGTTTCATGGCACTGATGAGCTCTGTGACACTGATGACGTTCTCCCTAGGGACACAGCCTGCATGTGGACCTCCACACCAAACCTGCCACTTGTATCAGGCACCTGACCCTGGCAGCCATCAGCATGGTCCTCCACTGTGGGGTCCCCATGCCCTCTCCTCTAGGTGAGTGTCCAACATGGACACCATGGGAAGAAGGCTCTGAGATGTGCATCCCTCAAGTACAGAGCCTGGGGAGGAGCAGGGCCCTGTGCCAGCTCCCTGCCATGGCCTTGCGGTGTGGCTCCTTCTGCCCAGCAGGCTCACTCAGAGGCAGCAACCCCAGCAGCAAGCTGCAACACACAGGACACGGAGGAGGCATGCAGCCCTAAATGGGCCGGGATGGAGAGCAGGAAGAGGCAAAGACAGCTGGAGGGAATGGGAGCCCAGGAGCTTGGCCGGAGCTGAAGGGAGAATGCTGGGGAAGGGCAGGCAGGGAGATGGGAGCCAGTGACAGGTGTGAGAGTGCAGTGCCCTAAGGCTCTGACTAGACACCTGGGGGTGGCAGTGGTGGTAGTGGCGGTGGCAGCATCGGCAGTGGCGGTGGTGGCAGCGGCGGCAGCAGCATCAGGAGAGCCCAAGCTCAGACCCTGGCTGCCCACTCACCCCACGGGTGAACCCTGCGCTGGGCCCAGCCTGCCGGACTGCTGGCCTGCCTCCAGCTGCGCGATCAGCCTGTCGATCTGGCCGATCATCTGCTGTACCCGCTTTGTCAGCCTCTTGCTGGCTTTTGATTCCTCCACAAGCTGCTCCTCGCCGGTCTTGGAAAGCTCCTTCTTGATCTCTTGCAAGTCCTAGTGAAATTATTTGCAGCTATTTAGAGGGCCTGTCTCGAATAAGGGAGAGTCCTACATAAATTTCACCTGAAACACTAATTCAGCACACTTGGGTAGAGGCTCAGCAGCAAAACCCTGGCCTAGTGTATTTTGAGGCCCCAGGTTCCATCCCCACACTGCAAAATGAAACAAAATGAAACAAAACACAGAGCTGGTGATGCCAAGCACAGAAGGTTGCAAAATCTTATTTCTATTGTGTACCAGTTTGCTCTTATTATTGTGAAGCCAAATGCTGCTGCTTTTGTGGCAGTAAAAACAGAACCTATTCTGAATCTCAGCTTCCCCCATTGCTAAATAATCAAAGGAAGGGTCTGAGGATCCCAAGGCTTTCTTCTCAGATCCCAGGTCACTGTGTTGGGGAGCAAATGTCACAAGGAAGGACAGGTGGGCAGTGAGGGGGCTGAGGCAGTGCCCACCAGCTGGCAGCTGCCAGAGATCAGCTTAACAGTGGCAGGCGACATGTGTCTCCCAGCCTAAGAACCATGATGACAGTTCTTCCCAATAGGTTGGAAAGTAATATTTACAAACAAAACAAAAGGGTGGGTGGCCTCAGGATTTAGCTCAGAGGCACAAGCACCTGCCTAGCCGGCGTGAGGTTGTGGGTCTGATCCCCGGTTCCACAAAAAAACGGAGGGGGCCTCAGGGGGGGTCGAAAAAGGAAGCTTAATGGCAGAGGCCTACATAGCTATATATGTGACCCAGGGTTCACTCCCAAGGGCCACAAATAAAGAAAAACAAAGGCAAAAACAAACACAAAAAGCCTACATAAAAAGCCAGTAAGAAGGCTCTCCCAGGACACCACGAACAGCAAGTTCTCGCTCAGCAAGCACTGCATCTGCAGGACCTCGGCGGGAATCAGGGCCCACAAGCGACGCACCAGGGGCTCAGAATGAGCTCGCCACTGCCTTCTCCCGACAGGAGCACACTCCAACCCCCACTGACTGTCCCTCATGGGCGTCGGCAGGGACCACAGAGCTGCGCCCACCTCACTGTAGTCCTGCACATCCTCCTTCAGCAGCTCCAACTCCTCCTTCTCCTTGGTCAACGACTTCTTCTGCTCCTTCAGCTTGGAACAGGCATCACTCAGGATGTCGATTTCCTCCTTAGTTATTTCCTCTTCCTGGGGCACAGAAACAAGGCTAAGGCAAAAGGGACCAGCAGCTCTCTCCGGAGGGCTCACAGTTTTCTGCTTGTGCTGGGGACACAGTCCCGAGGGAGACAGGGCCCATGTCGCCCTACTCTTTCCAGCAGCCCTGCACACCATGTCCGAGTGTGTTGTCAGGTAGCCCAGGACTTACATATGCACCAGGGAACCAACGCCACAGCCAGAACCATGAACTCATGTCACCTCCTCCCAGGATCCCATCCCCCAACAGGGCTCCAGAAGCAGAAGCGGGAGGCATCTCCAGCGCGCCCCCTGCCGGTCCCAGCCCGTTCCCATGGTCCCTGCAAAGCCTCGCATCACAGAGGGGCTCCCCAGAGCACGCCTGGCAGCTTGCCTGCCTCTGCCTGGCTTCCTGTCCTCAGTGAGTACCACCCAGGCTACTGGGAACAGCTGGGAGCCTGCCAGGGAAGCACCTAGGGCAGATCGGCACAGTCTGGTCTTTGGGAAGCTGCCCCATGGCTTCCCTCCATATCCCCTCCAGTACTTGGTTGAGCTGCTCCCACTTTCTTCCCAATGGGACCCAGACCTGTGTACCAGGCAAGCGTACTCCCCCAGGTGAGAGTGCGGCTGAGGGGCCAGAGCCTCGTGTGTTAGGTGGGCACTCTACAGTAGGTGCGGGGAGCACTGCTGCACACTCTTCTCAGCAGCTGCCAATTTCTCATCATCTCTTTTTCCACTTTTTTTTTTTTTTTTTTTTGAGACAGGGTCTCCCTGTGCAGTCTAGGCTCCTCTTGAACTCACCATGTAGCCCAGGCTAGCCTTGAACTTGCAGCAATGCCCCTGCCTCGGCCTCCCAAGTGCTGGGATGACAGGCAATCCCACCCCAGCCTGAACACATGAACAATCTCGGTAACCGCAGCTCGACAAAAACTCTCATTCCTGCCGTTTCCTAAGGGTTATCTTGGCTATCTCACATTCTCTACATATCCACATAAATTTTAGAGTAAGTTTGTCAATTTCAACAATAACAAGACTTTCTGCAGTTTTGGCAGTCTGGAGGAAATCTATAGGTCAGTTCAAGGTGGGGATGGTGTCTCATGTCTGTAATCTCAGCACTCTGGGAGGCCAAGACAGGAAGATCCCAAAGTGAAGCCCAGTCTGGGAAACTTAGCAAAACACTGTTTCAAAATAAATTTTAACCTGGGCATGGTGGCACACACCTGTAATTCCACTACTCTGGAGGCTCAGGGAGGAGGATCGCTATAAATTCAAGATCATAAATAAATAAACAAATAAGTAAATAAATTCAAGATCAGCCTGGGCTACAAAGTGAGCTCACAGCCGGCCTCAACTGTGCAGTGAAACCCTGTCGCAAAAAGAAAAAAATTTTTTTTAAATGTTGGGACCATGGCTCAGTCCAAAGGCCTTGGGTTTAATCTCCAATATCTCCCAAAACCAAACAAACACACACAGATCAGTTCAAGAATTCACATGGCAGCTACACTAAATCTTTTTTTTTTTTTTATCGGTACAGGGGTCACAACCGCCTGCTTGCAAGGCAGGTGCTTATACCACTGAGCTAAATCCCCAGCTACACTAAATCTTTTTTTTTTGTCTTTTTCCTTTTTATCAGTACCGGGGATCGAACCCACGACTGCCTGCTTGCAATGCAGGCGCTTATGCCGCTGAGCTAAATCCCCAGCCCCGCTACACTAAATCTTACATGCAGGACCACAGCACGTCCTACTAGTCACCTTTGTAGCTCACCTCACAGCACTTTCACTTTTGGTCCACATGTTTTAAACCCTGTGGCAGTTAGGGTGGGTGTCAACTTGGACCAGCTCTGGGTGTGCTGGAGCTGCTGAAGCACACTTCTGGGTGTACCTGGGTGGGCCATAGGGGCGTGGTTTGGGGGTCTATGTCTGGCCCCTTCCTCTCTGCTTCTGGCATCCATGAGCAGTGCAGCTTGCTCCCCTGTGATGTCCCTGCCTTGGCACCAGCAGGCCATGGACTAAATCCACCAAAACTATGAGCCAAATCAAAGCGTTCCTCCTTTATGGTGCAGGCATCAGGTACTGACCGTGTCCAGCAACAGGACATATGACCAACACATTTCTCAAATTATTCCTGAGCAATTCATCCTGAGGACACTGCTGTCAATGACAGCTTTTCTGCAGTACGGAGAAGCCAATCGATTCCAGTCACAAGCATTCTGTCTCTCCCACCCCATGTGGTTTCCACGTGGTCCCTCCCCTTGCTGCTGACTCCAGCCTGGGAGCACTGCAGGGAGTGCCCATCTTAGGGCCTCATCAAGCGGACGCTGCTGTAGGTGCATAGGTACCCCTTGCATGCTCAGCCTTGGGGTTGTCACGGGGGCCGTGGGCAGTGCAGGTGATGGGGGATGCTCTTCTCAGTCTGTTAATAGGCACCTAGGGACTATCATTGTTAACTCAGCTTGAATTCCAGGGACAGATCAGATGTGACCACAGACCTTTTTAAGGAAGAATGTACCCGATCTGCTAGTTTGTTGGAAATTCTCATGTGTGTGTGCAGAATTCTTGATCTTAGCAGGGACTCAGCACCTGGTGATGCCTGCACCATGGCCCATGCCAGGGATGTCTGCTTTCTCTCCTGCCTGGAGTTCTGCTCCTCCCCTGCTCATCTGTCCTCTGGGGCAGGATGCATCTGTGACCCTGGGTGGCATCTGGGTTGAGGCTGCCTTTGGGGAAGGGTTTTAGCTGCACCCTTCTGTCCACAATGGCAGAGCTGCGTGGACACCAGATTTGCATGCAGTGCCATCCACATGGGAATTGTAGTGTTCCACAGGGCCTGGGAAACTTGGCTTTTCAGCTCTTTAAAGGTTCATGCTCTGAGACATCTTGGTGACAATCAGGGTCTCACTAAGTCTTTTCTCCAGCTACATCCTCAGTCAGAAGGAAACAGATCCCACTTACCTCTGAGTCTACCTGGCTGCCCTCATTACTGAGGCTCCCTGTTCCCCATAGCTTCTGCCTGGTTCTTTTGGAGCTCCCAAACCTCCCCCTTTGGATAGGCCACAGGGCCAGGGATGCCCTTGCTACTGGGACTCTCACCTGTACTCCAATGTCTCACCCCAACTCCTCTCATGGGCTACAGGCCATGGTCAGTCTATCCTCACCTGTAGCCTCAGCCCCTGCCCTGGCTTGAGTGTCACTGACCTTCAAGCCTTCCAGCACAGGGGCGGTGTCCTTCAGGACCACAGAGGGCAGGATCACGTCAGGTACCTCCAGCTGTGGCTCAGCAATGGGCTTCCCAAGGGTGGTGGCACCCACACCTTCTAGCTCAGTGCCCTTCTAAAAGGTGAGAAGCAGTGCAGTCACGCCAGCAGCCTTGCTGGGTGCTCAGAGAGGCCTATTCAGTGACAGCAGGGACCTGCAGACCCTTACCTGCAATGGCCACCCAAAGCCCCAAGAGTGCCACAGAGGGTTTGCCTATCTCTGGTCCTCCCTTGCAACATCGAGGAGCAGAGACTGGGGCTGCAGGTAGACATGGGAAGGACCTGGAGGCCTCAGCTTTGGGCTCCTTGCAGCCTACCCCAGGGAGCGGGGGGAAAGCCCTGAGAAGGTAGGTGCTGCAGGGTAGGTGCTGAGGGCCCGTGGGCCCTCTGGCCCTGAATACAAGGAGATGCCCAACCTGTGTCCCCTACCCAGGTTCTCTTGCTTCTAATGCCATCCTGATTACTCCCCAAGACAACAAGGATAGAACCACAGTTTCCACATGTGGACATGAGCTCCCCAGAGCAAAGCAAGGCCCCACTCACTGCCACCTGGGCCTCTGCAGCCCGCTGCAGCTCCTTCTCATGGTGCTCCTGCTGGATGGCAGCCTCCTCCTGTAGTGTGGCCTCCAGCTTTGCTTTGTTGTCCACCTGCTCGCCCTCCACCTCAGCCGCTTTCACCTGAGCCTCCTTGGCCTGCAGAAGAGGGGCACCTGGCAGTGAACACAAAGTCCAAGCCCCTGCTTGTGTCACTCCCTGCTTCATACAGGGGACATAGCAGTCTTGGGATACTGTGAATGCAGCTGCAGACCTGCTCCTTCAGGCTATATGCATAGGGCAGGGCTGCCAGTGAACTGGGCACTGTGCCAGCCCCCAGCTCCCCAAATGGGCAGTCAAGAAATCTCCCAAAGACATACCACAATCTCTGGGAGGGTCTGCAGCGTGGACTTGATCTGGTCAGCAGGTGAGAGGGTGTCAGGGAGGTACATGGCCCGAGACAGCACAAGCAGCGATGTGGGCACCTCCTGGTGTAGGTGCAGGTCCAACCACTGCAACCAAAGACAGACTCACAACATGCCACCTGCTACCTGACCAACTGGCCAGCCACCACAGCCAGGGCTTCTAGCCCAGAGCCTCACTGAGACTCTGGTTTGCTGAGGAAGGGATCTGGCAGCACCAGGCCAAGCGAGACCTAGTGGATGACTTCATTAGGTGCTTAATGACTGCCTCGGGACCAAGGATCACCAGGTACACCAGACCTTTAGGCCCTGGGGCCCAGCCGCCATAGCCCTGAGAGCCAGCAGTACGCCCTCTCTTCACCAGCTCTCCACACTCCCTGCCACAGTTCAGGCCAGTGTCAGACTACTTCAATGACACCAAGACAATTTTCAAACTCAAAAACACTGATCACGAGGGGTTGGGGATTTAGCTCAGCAGCATAAGCGCCTGCCTTGCAAGCAGGCAGTCGTGAGTTCAATCCCCAGTACTAATAAAAAGGAAAAAGACAAAAAAAAAAAAAAAAAAAATACTGACCACATTTGGTCATGAGCTGAAATCAGGCAAAGACGAAGCTTCAGAACAGGGTAAAAATGGAGCTAAGGGGTCAGGGAGGGAAATGTGGATCCATCACAGCCCAATGGGCTGTGCAGTCTGGCAGGGCACATACTGGCCCCTGCTCAGGTGGCTCTGTAGAGCTGGGCTTGTGGAAGGTCAGATGCTCAGGGACAGCAGGATAGACACAGACCAGGATAGACCTTCTAGGGGCTGCTGAAGACACATCCAAAGGAAGACAAGGGTGCAAAGGCTCCACACAGAAATGAAGTTGTGTCAGGAAGAAGCAGCAGCACACCCTTGTCTACACCCTGAGGACACAGGGAAAACTGGCAGGCAGGAGTCAGTATTTAGGCACTGCTCAGAGGCATCCATGTCGGACAGCAGAACAGATGTGAGCTCCTGAAAACAGCTGCCCTGGCGCCCAGACCTCCCAGCCCAGCCACAGATGATGTCAAGGTGCGGGCAAACACACCCTCACCTGCCCAAGGGGACCAGAGACAAGCATCAGGACAACCACTGCAAAAGGCCTCTAAGGTGAGAATATGCACACTGCACACAAGTATGCTCTAGGGTGGTTTAAGAGACCACCCTAAAATGGTCCAGGTGTTCCTGCTATCCCCAATCTTATCACCCTGTTTGCCAGCCTGGAGCTTGACAAAACTCCCATGAGGCTTTGCTGCTTTTTCTTTTTCTTTCTTTCTTTCTTTCTTTTTTGCAATGCAGGAGATGGAATTCAGGGCCTCTGGTGTGCTAGGCAAGCACTCGCCACAGAGCAGCACACCTGGTCCCAGTGGCACTCCCCACGTGTGCAGCACCAGCCTGGGTATGGGTATGGGAGGAGGCACACACCTGCTTCAGCTGGCTCCGCAGCCGGTCCTCAGTGACACCAAGGGCTCGCATGCCCCGTGCCCGGCATGCGGCCTGCAGTTCCTTGACATTCAGGGTGTCCACCCCTTCCTCAGCAATGAGCTGTAAAGAAGAAGCCAGTCACATTTGGCACAGCCAGCAGAGTGGGTGTGCTGATCTTACCACACCAGAAACCAGGTTTCAAATCAGAAGCCCTTTCCCAAGGGGCTCTGCTGAGCAAACAACAGTGCCAGCCTGGGAGCACACACATTACGCGTCGCATAGCTGATTTTATGGCTTTGTGCACCAACTACAAGTTACATGGCAAGAAAGAAAGCAGAAGCAAGGAAGCAGGGCGGCAGGCACAGCCTGCAGAGCCCATGGCTCACCTTGTCGTCAGCCTTTATGGACCGCAGCCGCATGGTGAGCTGGAAGCGCAGGAAGTTGTTGGTGCCGATGGACTGCAGCTCCAGCAGCTTGCACAGCGCCACCAACTGCGGCCGAGTGAGGTTGTCCAGTGTCAGCTCATCCTCGAACAGCTTGGAGAAGCGCATGATTTCCTCATTGCTGGGCCTCTCCCCGGTCTCACGGATCTGTGGAAGCAGCCCAGGCTGGCTCACCAGTAGCTGACAGTGGGCTCTCCAGGCTTGCTCCTGGCCTGGCACCCCTCCCCGGCTTCTCCAGGACCTGCACTTTCCCTCCTGGCCATGGCGGGCAGGACTGTGTTCTGGGTACCAGGCTGGCTCAGCTGTTGAAGAGCACAGCCTTGTCAGCCTGAAGCACATCCTCCTGGGGCTGAGCCCAGGCAATAGGCAGTCGGCTCGAGCTGTCCCAGGAGCCCCGGCTGCTGGGTGTTGCCATGGAGCCTGAGAGAGAAAGGCAGAGCCCACCCAGCTCAGGGACCCATGGCACCTTCTGGAAGAAGGCGGAGAAGTCCTGGGTGGCACTGCCCTTGGCTGCCTTGTTCTTCAGGGCCATCTCCTCAATGGTGTCTTGGAGGAACTTGGCCAGCTCCAGCTTGACCCGCAGCTCCTTCTTCAGCCTTTCTTCCTGCGAGGGCGAGGGCCATACTTATCACTCTACCACCAGCCCATGCGCAAGCTGCAGGCCAGGCACGGAGTGAGGCTGCTCTCAGCTAATAGCAGTGTTTTCTGAAAATCTCTCTACTCCATGCCAGGGCTTTGTTTTTTTTCTTTCTTTAAAATAGTAATGAGAATTGATGGCCAGGGATTTAGCTCAGAGGTGCAAGTGCTTCCCTGGCAAATACAAAGTTGTGAGTTCAATCTCTGGTACCAAAAAAACACAAAACAGTAATGGAAATTAAACTCAGGGCCTTTGCATCAAGCTACATCCTCAGATTCTGTTTTACTCTATTTTAAGACAGGGTCTCACTAAGTCGCTTATGCTGTGATCCAACTTTCAATCCTCCTGCTTCAACCTCCAATAAACTCTTTTCTTTTCTTTTTTTTTGTCTTTTTTTATCGGTACCGGGGATCGAACTCACGACTGCCTGCTTGCAAGGCAGGCGCTTATGCCGCTGAGCTAAATCCCCAGCCCCTATATAAGCTCTTTTATGGCATTTAATAATACAGGATTTGTGAGCTGGGAGTGGTGGCGTACATAATCCCAGCACTCAGGAGGCTGAGGCAGGAGGATCACTGTGAGATCAAGGCCAGCCTGAATTGAGTAGTGAGGTCTTATCTCAAAAGAACAAGAACAATTACAAAGTAATTATGATAATAATAATACTTGTGTGATTATAGCAGGGGCTTGTAAGCCCATCCCACAGGGGATGGATGGGGATGCTGCAATCTGACACAACCACTCAACCTGCCTGGGGCCTCACAACTGCACCCAACAACACAGGAAATGGCAGGGTGCAGCTCAGAGCCTGGGGCTTGCTTGGGATGCCTGGCAGCCAGGCCACCCTCACCTTGATGGACTGTGTCTCAAACGTTGATGGCAGCATGTTGGGGAAAAGCTTCACAGCCACAGGCAGTAGAAACTCCATAAAGGGCACCACCACGAAGACTAGGAAGGGTACCAGGCGGAACAGGTCGGCACAGATGCGGAGAAACTAGAAATCGGGACAATGCTGTCATCGCTTACGGCACAATGATGTACCTCACACCTCCTAAGACCCACGTCATTTTCAAGCATCAAAACCACGTACAGTGCCATCCAGGTGAGGTAGCACGCTGAGATCCCAGCACTCTGGGTGGGGCAAATAAGCAATGTAGTGAGACTCTCTAATTACAAGGGCTTGGTTTACAGGTCTCACATCCAGTCCCAGCTCCCCAGCACCCTGCTCCTCGCACCCGGCAGCACAGGCAGGCCTGAGGGGCACTGTGCTGACTAGAATCATCTGGAAACCGGAAAGATGTCACGTAGCCCCTTTTATGGGGAGAAGTCTTGAACCAGAACAGGGACACAGTGTCACACAACAGCACCGAGCTCTGGACCGGAGCCCAGCATCCTGTGTGGCCCCAGCATCACACTTCTGTTCTGTGTGTTCCACACTCACACAAGGCTGCACATACACCTCCCACTCAGCCTAATGCCCAGCTGGTGCTCCTTTGCCCTTGTCCTGATCACTTTAGAAAGGTCACTTTGTAGTGAAGAGCACACAGTGAGATTCTGCCTTGGAAACACTGAAAAAGGGTTGAGGACAGAGGACTTGGTTTGACTCCCAGGACCATGAAAGAGTCAGTTCCTACAACCACTAGGACAAATCTACCTCTACTCAATCCAAATGATCTGTGAGACCTCAAATCAAGAACCTCAGCCTGTGTCCCTGCAGCACCTGCCCGGCCTTGGAGGCCACCGCCTCTGTTTTCTCCTTCAAGTTTCACTTTCTGCAGCAGAGAAGCAGCCAGGAGGGAGAGGAGTGCAGCGGGGCCTCAGCTCTCCTGCAATCACTCCTGGCCATGGGGAGCTCCACTTTAGCCCTCTATCCAGCATGTTTTAGATTGCTATAAACCTAAAATTATTGTTCAGTGAAAAGCTTACTAAAATCTGGTCATGGTGACATATGACCTGGGAGGCTGAGGCAGGAGAATCAAAAGTTCAAAGTCAGTATGGGCAACTTGGTAGGACTTTTTGTTTTCTTTCTTTCTTTTTTTCTGTTTTTCTGAGACAGGATCTCACTAAGCAGTCCAGACTGGCCTTGAACATGAGGTGATCCTCCGGCCTCAGCCTCCTGAGTGCTAGCTAGGATCACAAGTGTGTGCCACCATGTCTGAATAGACTCTGTTTTAAAAATTAAACTAAAAGGCCAGGCATGGTGACTCACGCCTGTAATCCCAGCATTCAGGAGGCTGAGGTGGGAGGATCATTGTGAGTTCGAGACCAGCTTAGGCTACAAAGTGAGCTCAAGGCCAGCCTGAGATGCATAGTGAGACCCCGTCTCAAAAAAGACAAAAAAAAAAAAAAAAAAAAGAAAGAAAAATTAAACTAAAAGGACTGAGAATGTAGCTTATGACAGAGTATACCTGGCATCAATCCCCAGTAATGCAATAAGATACTAATGATAAATAGTAAGTGAGCACATACACAAGACACAAATTGTGATACAAAACTAACAAAAGTGCCCAGGAGCCAGGAAGGAGAAAGTACTCCTGGGACGGAAGGAGGAATAGCAGGGATAAAAAAGGCCGCATAGGGGCCAGAGGTTTAGCTCAGCAGCGTAAGTGCCTGCCTGGCAAGCACGAGGTTGTGAGTTTGATCCCAATAGCAAAAAATAAAAGAGGCTGCACCCATGACGGATACTCAGGCTCCCCCAGGATGCTACTCTGGGGCCCATGGGATCCCACAGTATCCACGTCAACCCAGCAGAAGCCAGCTCAGCCCCCAGCCCCAGCACATGGGTCCAGGGGTGAAAACCCCCAGCCCAGGACACCCAGCGGTGCCACTCACCGGGCAAGGTCTACAGCAGAGCCCAGGGCAGGAAATAAGTGTGTACAGAGTCAGTGAAGACATAGAGAAGGAATTAAAAACTCAGAAAAGGGCAAGACCCTACCAAGAAATACCAAATAACAGGTTTTAAAAAATCAGACAGAACTGCTAAAGGGAAAAAGCCACTACACAAGAAAACCCCAGGAACCAAGCCAGGCATGGTGACACATTCCTAGAATCCCAGCACTTGGGAAGTGGAGGCAGGAAGATCATTGTGAGTTAAGAGACCATCCTGGGCTATGAAGAGAGCTCAAGGCCAGCCTGAACTGCATAGTGAGACCCTGTGTCAGAAAGAAAAACAGAAAAATCCCTGGAGTGGGCAGGTAGCTCAATATAAACAATGCAACCTAGGTTCAACCCCTAGTGCCACTGGCGGGAGGTGGACAGACAGGCAGATGAAAAAGCAAACCTCGGCAGACACATGAAACAGATTAGTTCAGCCAAAAAAAGAATGAACAAAATTGAAGGAAAGCACCTTCCCAGCTGCAGCCCTGACAAAAAACGCAGGAATCTTTTTCAGTCCATGTTGTCTATGAGGGGCTTACTGTGTTGCCTGGGCTGACAGACACTGCTTTCCTCAAGGGAACTAGTTGCCTCAGCTTTCTGAGTGGCTGGGACCATAGGCACCAACTTAGGGCCAGAGGACAGCAAGAGTGGGTACAACCTGGGGGCTCCCCACAGCCCTGGCTCACAGATCCCATGCAGTGAAGAGAGACAGGAACCCCAGAGGGCCGTGTGAGCCTTGCATGCAGAGATGGAGGCAGCAAGACGGAAAAGGCAGGCGGGCCTGCACACCAGGTCCTTGGAGGCTGCAGCCGGCATCTGAACAGGGACGTGGCTACAGCTCCAGGGAGAGCACTGGCCTCCATGTTGGCCCAGGGCGAAGAGAAACAGAGGTGGGCCAGGGCCAGCAGCCGCCACACACAGCACCAGAGGCAGGAAGAGACCCCAGGGTCATCAGGCAGGTCAGTTCCATTTCTATAGCCATCAGGTTTCAGTCAAGTCCCCCAGAAGCCCAGGGTCCACAGGTGGGCCTTGGAAGGGGACTGTATGCCTTAGACTCCTGAGAGGTGAAGGCATGGCAGGTGGATCGGGGAAGAGTGGGCCCCTGGGTGTGGACTGTCAGGGTGTATCCCCCAGTCCTCCAGCCCCAGACCCCATCCACCACACCAATGCCACAGACCCGGTGACCTGTGACTGAACCCCCTCCAAACTGAGCCAAGCAAACCTCTTTCACTCAAGCCATGGCGCTGGTGCTTCATCTGGGTGATAGGAAGTGATTCACACACAGAATGGAAGCAAGGAGGAGCCCCCACGGCACCCAGTGTCTTACCTGCCGCCGCTCCCGGCGTGTTAGCGTGTGACCATGCAGAATGCGCCAGAGTGTGCGCGCAGCAATCTTGGTGTCAATCCAAAGCAGGCGGAAGCCGTGGTAGTAGTGCCTGAGCTCGTCTAGCACGCGCTGCCCCAGGGACCTGCGCACCGCTGCTGGGGTTGCTGGGCTGTACACAGGGCCGCCCTCCTCCAGCTTTTTGTTCTTGTCCTTCAGAGACTTGAGGGACTTCTCCACCACAGAGTCATCATGGAGAGGGGGCGATGAGTGCCAGCCACGCATGGGCAGGTAGCAGGGCCGTCCAACCAGCACTGCCATGGCAGCAGGGCCCCATGGTGCTGCCACCACCATGCACAGGTACTCAGGCCTTGGTGTCCAGCAGCACAGGTGCAGGGGGCGGGCCAAGGCACAGCAGCCAGAAGGGACAATCCTTGAGAGAGGAAAAGGGACAGTAATGAGGAGCTAGCCACCCACGGGGACATCAAGCCACAGACCTCAGCACATCACAAGCCACACATGACCCACTTACTTTCTGATGCTGAAACACAGGAACCCAAAGGACATGTGGCCAACTTGGGCACTCTGTGTCACCCCAGCCAGGCACGAGAGGTCCCCAGAGAGGCAGCAGCAGGTAGTTGACACATGAGCCCAAGCCCAAGCCCAGGACACAACCAACCTCTGGAACCTAGGTGTGTGGTGGTCAGGGTGCACTTTAGGGACGTGGGCAGATGGGGTACACAGTGCATCACCCGCGCAATCCCAAGGTCTCCCTTGGCAAGTGACTCTCAGAAGCAAAGGCTCCAGGGCTGGTGCAAATCAATGACAGAGCCGAGGCCAATCTCTATGCCCTGGTCCCTGTACTGTTCCCAGACTCTGTCATAGTGTATAAATGCCGTGAGGGCCATTGCTGTCCCCAGCAGCTGGCAGTGCCAGCAGAGCCTGGAGTTTGGAACACCTGGACCCCAGAAGAGTGGACTGCCCATTATCACTGAGACTAAAGGGTCGGACAAGCCGGCACTCTGCAAGGTGGCGACCTCCGCTTCCCTCACCTGCCACCCAGAGACTGGGTGGGCAGCACCCCAGCTGAGGGTCCATATGTGGCCACCACCCTGTACCCATGAGGACCTGAGTGCTGCCGTCCACATCCCCATGGCTCCTTCAGTCCATAGCAGAATCCACGCTGGCTCTGCCACCACCTTGAGGCCTGGCTGGCAGCAAGTGTCATGGTCACCAGGACACAGGGCAGGCACCAGGGGATAAGACACTAGACAGGGCAGGGACAGCAGAGCCACAGATGTGTGTGTTCCCTCCATGTTGTCCTGAGTGTGTGCCTGTTGTTTTTGCCCCATGTGTGTCACTGTGTGACCACTCTCTCAGCCTGTCCTGCCTGTGTCCCTGGCGCCTGTGTTCTTCTCTCTGGAGCTGCTGTCCAGCCCGCCCACCCTCTGTCCACGGAAAACCCCTGGGCCCAAACCCACCCATTCCTAAGTGCCAGAGTCCGTGAGTACTCTAGCTCACAATGCCACTCGTCCTTCTGTGCCCTGTATGTGCCTCAGCTCACCTGAGTGTGCATGACAGAAGCACCACGTGTGGAGCCAGCACCGGGCTGCCCTGCCAATTTCCACACATGCAGGGAAGAGCCGGCTTCCACAGCAGGGAGTGACAGTCACAGTTGCAGAGGCAAAACAAAGACAGGGAACAAAGTCAGCAGGCAAAGAAAGACACGGACTACCACGTGGACAAGCGTGGTGCCACTCATCTGTGATTCCAAAGGTTGAGGCATGAGGGCCCCAAACTGAAGCCTCGCATAAGCTATTTTCAAAAAGCAGAAAATATGCAACTTTTTTAGAAGTGTCCTCCAACACAAAACTAGCCCAGCTGTTGCAGCCTCCCAGCCTGTGGCAGGGAGAACTAAGGTCTTGGGAGGCCAGCCCAGGCTCCCACTGCTCTGTTGCCTGAGCCGCTCCAGCTTTTCCTTCTTGTGTGCTACTGGTGTTTGAACCTAGCATCTTCACATGCAGCTGCATCTCCAGCGCTTCTTATTTTTTGAGACAGGGTCTTGTTTAGTTGCTTAGGCTGCGCTGCTCCTGCCTCAGCTTCCCAGAGTGTTGGGACCACAGGCTTCTGCCACCATACCTGGCTTCCTTTTCTTTTCTTTTCTTTTTTTTTTTCTTTTGTTTTGCTACATCACCTGAAAAATGAGGGGAAATCTCCCTTAACAAAAGGAACAATGCAATAAAAAACAAACTCCTGGGGCTGGAGATTTAGCTCAGTGGCATAAGCACCTGCCTTGCAAGCAGGCGGTTGTGAGTTCAATCCCTGGTACCGATAAAAATGAAAAAGACAAAAAAAAAAACCAAACTCCTGCCAGGCAGTTAGACTGGCTATGTGAAGAAGCTAGGACACCACTGTGAGGCTGTTTACTTGAGAATGCTGACATCCGTGGCCACCTGGACATCTGGCTGTCAACGACGAGGAAAAGTAAGCAATGCTTGCAAAGGTGCCTCAGCTACATGGCCCTGGGGAGCAGGCATCAGAACACAGGATGGGGAACTTGAACCTGCTGTCCTGCCACCTTGAGCTCTTGGTGTTGAGAGTATAACCGCCTGCAGGGGGCTCCCAAGAGGACAGCTCCCCAGGCGGCCCAAAACTCCTGCCCCAGGCTGTCACTGATAGGTATGACAGGTCAATGGCCCAGGTTAACAAGGAGGACACCAACCAGAACACCACCCCACTTCTGTGTGACATGATGCCCAGAGTCCCAAGCTGTCCCAGCAACAAAGAAGCAGCAACAGAGGACCAGCACTGCCACTGCTGCCGCCGCTGCCACCACCACCACCACCCAGGGGAGGGAGCAGGAGGGGTCCCAGACTGGCCAACATTCTCCTCAGAGATTGCAGGGTGTGATTCTGCACCAGGCGTGAAAGCAGAGCAGCTGGGGGACATGTAGAGACCAAGTTTCCAGCAGCTGGACCAGCAGTTCCACGCTTGGACATGCTCCAGGGCTGCCAGGCAGAGTTAGTGCACCTGCATCCCAGCCTCCCTGCCTGTCAGAGCTGGGTGCTGCCAGCAGCCTTCACACCGAGATAAATAAGGTCAAAAGCTGCTAGAAAAGGGCCAGGGACAGAGCTCAGCGGCACAGTGCCTGCCTGGCAAGCACAAGGTTGTGGGTTTGGTATCTGGTACCAAAAAATGAAACCAAAACCTGCCAGAACACATCTGTGATTTGCCTCCGATCACATTCCACTGCCAGGGCCCTAAGCCATCTCAACTTCAGGGGTGAAGATCACCTGCACTATGGTACTGATGGCTATAATCACAGCACCCTCACGAGTGTGACTTAGGAGTTCTTATGTGATGTAGCCAGAATGAAAAATAAAGGAACTTATTGCTCCTCATCATAAGTGCTGATGTAGCCAAGTACAATAGCACCTGCTGAGGCTAAAAAGTCATAAGTTTGAGCCCAACCTGGCCAACTTACTGACTTAATGAAATTCTTTCAAAAAAGAAAATAAAAAGGGCACTGGGAATGTAACTAGTGTGAAGGCCCTGAGTTCAATCCATAACACTACCAAAAAAAGGGTGGAGGTATATGAGTCCATCACTTTACCATTCCAACTGTTTTTAATACCCAACAATGCAAACTTGCTAAAAAACTATACTGATAAAAGCACAGCTTTTATGGTCTAACATAAACCTAAAATGCTAAAAAGGTGTTCAACCAATCCAACATTTACTCTAAACAAAAATATTTTAAAGCCAGGCATGGAGGGGCAGGCCTGTAATCCCAGCACTTGGAGGCTGAGACAAGAGGACTGCTGCAAGCTCAAGACTACATAATGAGACTCTGTCTCCAAAAATGGGAAAAAAACAAATCAATGAAAGGGCCAAGTGGGGAACCAAGAGTGTAGTTCAGTGGTAGAGCACCCCTGGGTTTAATCCTAGCACTGCAAAAATTTTAAGGTAAGGAGCTGGGCATTCAGCTCATTGTTAGGGCTTAGCATGAGTGAGGCCTTGGGTTCCATCCCCAGCATACACACACATACACAAACCCACCTGGAAAGATGTGAAGTTCATAAGTCACTATTCCCAAGGGGTCTAAAGGGTCAGTAACAATACAGTCACAACCCCAGAGTGTAGAGTTGGTAAGTTCACCTGGAAGGACACTCAAAAATTCTGAGGAAGCCAGAAATGCAGTAGGAACCTGGTCCCTAAAGCAGAGCTAAGACAGAACTAGCAAAAACAGTGGACAGCAGGAGCTGATAATTGACAGATGACTGATGCCTGGGTGGGCTGGATAGGGTGCCCAGCCTTGCCCCAGACAGGTTCATACAGACAAAGTACATCCACAGGCCAACCCCTAACCTGCATCCCTGACCTAGGAGCAGCCCTGGGGGCCACTGCCTGCAGGTACCGGGGAGCTCAGCCTGCCCCAGCCCTGTGCTCCCTTGGGAGTCACATTCACACAGCAGCAATAAGATGGTGGACACACTGGTGGACCCGACAGCACACGGCCTCCTGACACTGCCAGAGAAGACACAGAAGCTGGGTCAGACCCACCCAGGGGTTTAGAGTTGAAGCCACGGACAAAACAACAGGCTGGCCAGCTGTCACCACCTAAGCAAACACTGTGTGCAGTAGTGACCCTGCCACAGAAACACTGCCCCTGCCTGCAAAGCCACGCATGCTTGGCTCCTCAGTGGCACCTGACAAGGTCACGCTGTTGAATGTGCACCCCAGCACAAGCTTCACATGTGACTTGTCGTTTCTGTTGTATAAGTTAAATCTGCCTCAGAAAGTCCCACAGGGACTTTTGCAGCTTAGACAAGACAGATGCAGCTTTAACAGATGAACATGAAAAATTTCAATGCTCCACCACCACAAGGAGTGGAGGGAAAGGGTGGATGCACACCACACACACCCACAGGTAGCAAGCAAACTGGAGGGATGATGAAGCCAGGAGAGAGTGGAGTTCCCTAGGACACAGAGGTAACCAGGCTGCCATCAGCAGAGACAGTGCCGGAGTGCAGAGGGGGAGCCAGGTACTGCCTGACAGAGAGGGGAGTATGCTTCCTCCAGGAAGCCCTTTGGCACCAGCCCGCTGACCTGGCAGTGGCACCACACGCCCTCTCTGGACACTGTCACCATCTGTCAATCACTGCTTATCATCCTAGTAGGTGCAAAAGGGGAGATGTGTGCAGAGCCAGGTGAGGGCATATGGTCACCCCTGCGAGGGTTTCTGAAGGACCAGATGTGCAGAATCCTGCTGGGCCCACACATGGATCCCCACAGCCCAACCCTGCCTTGGGCACAGTCAAGCCAAAGGCAATGGGGGACATAAGAGAGCTTAGGCCACCTAAGCTAACAGCACTTTGTTGCTATGGTTCCAACTGCACTGGAAACAGACACAGAAGGAAAAGTCAGAAAAATACTAAAGCACTAGGCATATATGTAACTGGTGCTAGGATTAGGAGTATTTTTTTTTTTTAAATATACTACTATAAGGGTTGGGGATACAGCTCAGCAGCACAGCACCTGCCTGGCAAGCATGAGGCAGTGAGTTCGAACCCTGGTTTCAAAAAAAAGTAAAACCCCATATTAAAAAAAAAAAAAAAAAAAAACCTACTATAGTGATTATACCTTTTGAAATAACAAAGCACGGGTTTAAAAGAAATAAAGAACAAGCATCCCACCAAGTGCAGGCTCCTCTAGCAGACAGGGACAAAGGCAGGGTTTACTTACACTCGGCTTCTCAACCCCACAGTGCTGGTACAGCTGAGACAAGCTCTGTGCCCCAGACTTCCTGTAACAGAAACAAAGAGACAGTGAGTGAACAGGGCTCTGCAGCTGGCTCCCAAGGCTGACGGGGAAGGGACTCTTGCAGAAGCCCCCAAGTGAGTCTCTGAAACCTGCCCTGCCTTGGAAGGCTCTTGGCCGGAAGCAGGGTCTCCCCAGCTCCTGGGGGCAGCTCACTGCATTCCTTGGCCAGGGACTTGCAGGCTCCTACCAGGTGGAACCCACCCCACCAGCTTCAGTAGCTCTAGTGGCAGAAACCAGACCATACAGGACCCTGATATAGATAGCCCTAGGCAATAAGCAAGGACCCCTAGGAGGTCAGACAGGGAAGGCAGGGCCAAGCAGAAGCCACTTCTTCCACACAGTGAAGACAGGCACACACCGTGCCTCAAGGACATTGCTGTGTTCTTGGGGCTCCCCAACACCCTGTGGTCCTCTAAGTGTGGAACTGCCAATACTGAGCAGCTCAATCCACTGTACAGGCCGGACAGGACAGCATGGGCACAGTGGGCCAGGGTGCTGTCCCCAGGAGAGGCCAGGCAAGGGGCCAGCAGGGCAGCAGGCAGCACCCAGGGATGCCATCTGGTCCCAGCCCTGCAGCCTGTGAGGACAGAGTGTCACTAAATGTCATTAACAGAAAACAACTCTCCCATTTCTGTCTACCATTTAGGGACTTTTGGCACCAAGACCATCTGATTAGCAGCTGGGTCACACCATTCACAATTCGTGACATGAAGAATTAGCTACAGCAGGGCATGGTGGTACAACCTGTAACCCCAGTACTCGGAGGGGCTGAGTCTGGTGGACAGCAGGTTCAAACCCACCCTGGGCAATTTAGTGAGAAAAAGATTTTAAAAACAGGTAGAGATGTAGCTCAGAGCAAAGGCCCAGGATTTAATCCTTGTATCAAAGGAGTCAGTTTAGCTACATTCTTACTCGCATCAATAATAATGAGTTAAATAGATAGCCAGGAAATCACACCAAGTCTCTGGCCTGGGCACCCACCATGCCCCAGAAAGCAGACAGCCTGTGAGGGTACTGAGGCCACTGAGGGGGCATGTTCCTGGGTGGCCAGGCAGGGTCCATGCTGCCTGTACTTTTACTGACTATAGGTCTGGAGGATCCTGTGATTCCCTCAGCTTTGATAACTTGCTGGAAAGACACACATAATCCACTCCGTATCACAGCTTGCCATGATACAGGTGAGCAGCAGAGAGAGGTAGAGGGTGGAGGGGTCCCTGGCACCCAGGCCCGTCAGAAGCTCAGGGCAGGGCTGACACACCTGGAGCCCTCTACACACGCTCCTCTCCCGGAGGCTAGGACAAAGACTGAGACGGTTCCAACCTCTCCTCTCCACTGGGCTAGCTCTAGCTAGGACCTGCAGAGCCTTCTTGG